TACCACGGGTATTGAAACCCGGTTTCTAGCGTTGTAAGTCCGCAGACATGCCGCTGTGCCACGGGGGGGGGGGGGGCGGAGGATGCTGATTTACAAAAGGATTTGAATTATTTGGTAAATTGGGCGAATAAATTACATATGCCCATTAAATACAAGATAATACACGTGGGTTAACATAATTTGAATTATAAGTATAATTTTGAATGGAATAACATTATTAGCGTTATGGACAAAATATTTGATGTTCTGGTTGATCAGTTTCTTAAGACATCCAATCAGTGTGATGTTGTTAATGGTAGGGCAAATAGAAGTTTAGTTTGTATCTAAATAAATATTGAATACAGGTCTAGAGAGGTTATAATTTCATCGTATAGGTCACTGGTTAGGCCAGATTTGGAGTATTGTGTTCAGTCTTGGGCTCCTTACTTTAGGAAGGACATTGAATTGTTGGAAAGGGTTCAGAGAAGGACTAATAAGATGATACGTGGGATGGAAATGTTATCATATTAGGATAGGTTAAGATCTCTGAACTTTTTTTCCCTTGTAAGCAGAAGAGTTAGAAGGGGATCTGATTGGGGTGTTTAAGATTGTTAAGAGTTAATGCATCATCTTTAATGGTGACACGAATATAAATTTTGGCAGGAAAGATGTCATCTTCAGTTAAACCAGTTTTGTTTTTCTAACAAGGTGGTTGGCCTCTAGAATGGGTTACCTTCGGATGTTGCAACATCCGGTGCAGTTAATTTACGGGAAATATTGATAAATATTTGAATGATAAGGGTTGCCTTTGAGGTTTTTTTTCTTTCTTTGTAATGGTTTAGTTTGAGTTAATAGACAGGAGAGCTCATATGAATCAAAAAGTCTCTTGCTTGTCCTTTAATGTTATGTATTATTTTTCACTAGAGAGAGTTTCAGTGTCAAATGATGAACACATCTGTTGATTACTGGAACTTTTTTAAACAAATCTAAGAATCGATTTAAATAATACAAAACGAGGGTTAGACGAAACCAGGTTAGATTGATGATTGAGTAGTGAATCTGTTAAATTTGATTGTTGAATTAGGGAACTAATTCCTGACTATATATGCATGAAAAGGTAGAGTTTATATATATATATATATATATAAATCACACTTTCTCCCTTATCGCTTAAGCTTTATTAAATAATTTAACTACTTCAAAACATACATTTACAGCATACAAAATACATAAAACATACAAAATTATTTGTTTATAACAGGAAGAAAGTAATAAATGTTAACAGAAAATTCGTGCATATCGTTCTAGAAAATAGAACACTGTATATAGAACTTCAAGAAAGTAGAAAATAGTACAGTTACTCAATATGAGTTTAATTATAACTAGACATCTATATAGCACAGATATAAAGAGAAAAGAATAAAACAACATCTAACTT